GGAGGGTCTGGGGAGGATCTGAGGAGGGTCTTGGGAGAGTCCAGCGCGAGTCTGAGGAGAGTCTGAGAAGGGTCCAGGAAGAGTTTGAGGAGGGTCTGAGGAGGATTGCCAGTTATTTTGACCAGTAATGTTGAGCCAGAAATGAGTTATCACCAAGCTGTTACTAACTTTGGAYAGTCATGATGACCAGCGACTGACTGGCAGTTATTTTAACCCCTGGAAGATTGGAATTACCAAGGGGTGGGGAATGCATGAGGATTATAGAATTTAATACAAAAAAATCTGAGAAGAAGGAAAGCTACTTACTTGAATTATTAGAAAAGCTTAAAACAACCAGATCTTCATCTGTCCCATTCCTTTCATTCCTTTTCACTCCCTTTCCATTCTTCTTTTTCCTAGGTGATTCTTTCACAAAGGTCTTTTCCCTTAATACAGGTGCTACTTCCTCAGTATTAACAGATTTCTTAATATCAACAACTTCTTTCCTTCCTTCCTTCCTTAATACTGGCATTACTTCCTCAGTATCAACAGCTTTCCTTCCTTGAGGTTCAGTGTTTCCTTTTGTTCCAGTTGACCTTTTGTTGTTTGTTGGAGTCAGTTGAGGAAGTTTGTCAATCTCAGCAAGATTTAAGCTGTTACTTGTTCCTTCAAGCTCTTCTTCTATCTCTTCTTCCTCCTCGTCAGCAGCAGCATCTGTAGTACTCTTCTCTTCACGTTCAATTCTCTATAAACAAGTAAATGCATAAATACATGTAGAAAAACACTGTAACAGCCTGACATGAAAAAGTATGAGTGGCGATAAATCAATGTATTCTCATAATTTTGTGCATGGTATTTTCCTGCAAGATGGGATTTTCCWCCACGTTATTTGGTAAAACCAATCAGCTTCACACAGCACAGTGTCAGTTTGACATACCAAAGCACAAGAATAAAAATATTCAAATATATTATCACTGGTTATATTTTTGCACATCTTGCCGTGAAATATGGCCTAATTCTGAATTAGAATAGAATAACTGTTGTGTGAATTTTTAAATGATTATATCCTCTAGAAACTAATTTGTATTCTCTTTAATTAGCTTAAAGGATTTCATTACCTCTTGAGCGGCTTTGATGCTTTCTCTTATGCTCTCATCTGCTTCTAATGACTTTCTCAATGTCTATAAATGAGAAGTTTGAAAATTAAATTAAGTAAATATTAGAGTAGTGGTAGTTATGTGTGGTGTGATTCGTCAAATAGTAGTGCAGTGTAGTGGTAGTGTGTATGGAGTGGACCTCATGGAAGTTCCAATGAGTTGGTGTACAAGATGCAGATGTAAAATATTGATTGGTGTGTTTTAAAGGGACAACAACACACCCTTTCAACAGAATCAGAGAAAAGTATCACAGGTAAGAAGTTAAATTGATTTAATACCTCTACATCATTGATACTTAGTGTAAGCTCATCCTCTTCCTCTTCTTCATCTTCTTCTAATCCAATGTCCTCTGAACTGTTAAAATATCTATCAAGATCTTCATCAAAATCATGATCCTCATCACTGGCATCATCGTTGTCCATGGCTTCAAAATCTTCACTGTACTTCCCAGAGAGTAATCCTAAGAACCAAGATTAAAAGAATTAAAGAATTAAAAGACACTGTTACTAACTACTTAGTGATACTACCACATAATACAGCTTCGATAGTACGCACACTCTCATTGGCTGATTCACCTCTGGCTCATGATTTTTATAAATTTTTCCTGCATTTCTCCTAACATCCCTTGTCTTCGAGTCGTAGAATTTAGGTTCAGTTGCTTAAATCAAACATTGCTACTTATAATTATTATTGATGCCTCAGTCATGAAAAATCTCTAACCCTGAAATACATTGAAAGCATTATCCCCACCCCTGTGAGAGGCCCATCAATACAGGTTGCTTACTAGGTTCTCCTCGGCAAGACCGCAACCCCCAGGTTTTAATTAGGTTTATACTAACCTGGGGCATGTATTTTGACCTTTTCTCCTTTACTTGTCTTGATGTGAACTGCATCCTGAAATTTAAAAAATATTTGTTGTTACTATGGATACAGAATAGGCCACTGTTTCTATGGTAACAAAATAGGTAAATATTACAGTTGGTATGACCAGAGAATAGAACACTGTTTCCATGGAAACAGAATAGGACACTGTTAACATGGTAAAATATTCCATAATTTCCAGACTTTTGTTAAACTGTTGCGAACACGATAATTTTTACAATTAAAAAAAGACATACTGGTTGCCATTCTTTTCTTGGTAAAGGGTCTGGTACTGGAGCTGTCTTGGCTCTTGTTTCCCTGGGTAACAGATCACAATGCTTTAATTTAGAAAATAATTATTTATTCGACCACCATAACATAAAACATCAAGAACAATCGTGGTTAAATAGGATTTCATGATGGGAAACTGTAATGGGACCTTTATCTCACACAATAGCCATGTTGGCAGAACAACAGCCTGCATAGCCTCACATCCATGTGCCGCACGATGAGTTTATGCCCTTACGAATAAAGGTTTTTTATTCTGGAAGGAGTCTGGTGTGTGATAAAGGACCTTATTACATCCATTTTGAAATCACAAGCAAATCCTGCAATCTGATGGTTCCCTGCAGCAGTGATTTCAGCATAAATTGAACGATTTTGAGCTCTAAATTGCACGATTTTGCACATCAACTGATATGAACCAATCACAAGAGAGACATCATTTTCTAGCCAATTATATTAAGGAATCYATCTGAGTGTTGAGCTCACCGCTTCTTGCGAAAAAAAAGAGCCACGGCTCAAAAAAAAATTTTCTGAAGAACGATTTTACTGTCAAAAGTCRTAAAAAAAGACTTAAAAARCCATAAAAAGGACTTAAAAAGACCAACTGATCACTTAAAATTGTCAAAAGCATCTTTGTAAAGTAACTGCTTAAGTAAGTTGAAGATATTACAGCGAAAAGCAGTGGGGGAAAATGCAATCGATATCTTTTGAATGTGACTTCTTCCTTTTCAATCTGTAAAGCATAACAACACATCGAAAATACAGTCATTAAAAGAAGTTTTTCTTAAGAAGAAGATTTTTGCTGAGCTACGTGACTTCTTAAGGACAACCGAAGGACTAAACAACCTTTGATTTTTGCTGTTTTCTTGGCACAAGTGTGATCGTAACATGTTGAACAGAAATCGTAAAAATACGAGCAGTGAGCATTGGCTGTATGGACAACAGACAGTTCATTACAACCCTTTTGGGCAGGATTGTTTTGCTATTTAATGTAAGTAAACGATTCTTAATACATGTRATGCCTTTTGGTCCTATATAAATTCATTTTAGAGAATCAGAATGAATGAGAATCATTGCTCGATCAGTATAAACAAGTTCTCTTGACAGCATGTTTGAATCGACTGCTTGTAGATTGTAAGTCATGTCGGTTTAACTGGAAAAAACGTCTTTTTCAAAAAAAGATTTCAAAATGGATATGATAAAGTGGTAATTGAACTTCGTGTCGTGCAATTTTGGTCTGAAATCAAACTTGCAATTACCAATCGCACTCCCGCTACACGGTCGTGCGATTTTGTAATCGCGCGTTTGATTTCAGACCAAATTGCACTCCACTCAGTTCAATTACATTTCCTGCTCACCCTATCTCCTTCTCAAGCCACTGCAGTTCATATTCTAACTGTCTCTTTCTCTCACTATAAGCATCTGGTTAAAAAAAAAACTTTGTAAGAAAAAAAAAAAGATTTCACAACTAAAATAAGACTCTTGAGATAAGGGGTAATTGCACTACTGTTACAAGTGTGATCCTCGATTCCGTTTACCCCAGAACTCTTCCATCCCTAGTTTCTCCAGAAATTCTCAACAAGAGGGACCAAAACTTGAAACCAATGGTACTTTGGGAAGCACAGGTGGCGTAGCGTTGAAAGCGCTCCCCTCTCATCAATGCGACCCAAGTTCAAGTCCTGCTGGGTTCAGTGTTGTATGTGAACAGAGTTTCTAGTTGGTTCTCTCCTGTGCTTCAAGGGTTTTTCTCCAGCTTCTCCAGTTTTCCTCCCTCCTCAAAAATCAACCTCTAAATTCCAATTCAATCACGGAACGAGGGCCACAGGTTTGTTAGCTGCTGGCTATTAAGTGCTACGAACGTTTTCCATAATTCGAAGTGTGAAATGAAAAATCCATTGTAGAGTTTGTCACATTACCTGCAGTCTTGGTTTGTCTTGACTGGCTTCTGGTCTTTGATGTTGGCGGGTGTGGTACCACTTTACCCAAGTCTACATTAGCACCATTAACATACAGAGAAAACCCTTGTTCTTTCTTCTCTAGCGCTATTTGTTTAACATCCTTTTCTTTTAGCTTTTTCAGCAACCTTTAAACCAAAGTAAATAAATTCGAATGGGATCAAAAATAATTCTAACTTTAGTTAAGTTATACTAGTTAGAGTGACCACAGTAAATCCGTGAAACACTAATTACTAAATAGTACAAAATAGTGCTAATTAAACAATAGAAAACAATTGAATTTGCATGAAATTGTGCTATTTAGTATTACTAAAGTTTCACGGATTTACTGTGGTCACTCTATAGTCAATAATAATATTAAAAGTATTTCATAAATAAAATAACATCAGTTCTAGTAGTTATATTAATCTTAGTTTTAGAACAGTGTCAATATTAGTGTCAGGTTGCTACCTGTTTCTTTCTTGTAAGAGTAGAAGGTAGTCCTCGTATCCAGATGAAAGTACCTCCTTTGCAGTCGATACACCAGACGGTGGCTGAATGCAGATAAAATATTATACAGCCTGTATTATTATTTAAATAGTGACACTAATACAATATTGTATATTTTTAATGCTCTACGAAACATTAAATCATCATTATTTTTTACCTCTTTTGCTGGCTTGAATTGCTTTCCTTTAGATTTTTCCCATTTACTGGATGAGCTTTCTGATTATAAGAATAAGGCGTAAGCTTTAAAGATTAATTTTCGTTCAATTTTGCCACCATTGTATCGCATTTTCAAAACACGTCGGTCTGACAGTTTTATTTTAGAGACATAATTTTCACAGAAGATAATTCCTAACAAATTTGGCATTAACCTCAATTAATACTCTCAACAAAAACTTTAGATAAATAGCAAAAAAAAAATTTTTAGTTCAAATATTTCGACGACTCGAAATATTAAAATTAAAGCTCAAAATCATTCATCAAAACAAACTTACTGTTCATGTTTTCAGCTCATCATAAAATATTTTCTCCTTGCCGTCGTATTAACGTTTAGTTTTAGGTGTAAACGTTGGTAGTTTGTGGGTTTATAGATTAAAATCGTCGTTGTTTTGGAGTTCCTGGGTCACCAACAACTCAAGTGTTTTGCCGCCATCTTGTTTGCGGTGTAACCACGGAAGCGCGCACTGGTTGGTGGGTAATATAAAAACACAGGGTACCCACACTTCCTCTTGTCAGAGTCAGGCTTCATTACATTAATAATTATTACTTCCGTCAATCTTGTTGATAATCTCATGGATCACGATGATCTCAAAGCAGTATTTTGAAGAGACTGTTCAACATTTATCAGGTAGGGGACAGTGGGATTCATGAAAAATGGCCCTTCACTTGTTTTCCATTCTGGCTACCAGTCATCATTTAGACACACCTATGTGAAAACACCTATGTGAAAACACCTAATAACCAACAGTTTCATTCATTTTTAAAAAACAAGGCTAATTCATGCAATAACACAAACCAAACTATTAGTTAAATTTGAGCATAGTATACTCGGCCTCAAATTTGTGACATTTAGGGACTGGTCATAAAGATGGGGATTGGGGTAAAAGAAAGGGTTGGGTCACAATTTTAAAATTCTTAAAAAGGGTGGGTTGTCAATAATACCAATACAGTAGAGATAGTAGGTCATGCTTTTTTGAAGCATCATCTATTTATTTGTGTTTCCATTTTCAAGCTTCTAGAATTCAAAATTTTCAGAGAGGGGAATGCCATACTGGAGGCAGTGTGATGAGCTTTTGTTATCCATGGGTTTTTGACATATGAATGGCTGTCACAGTCATTTCAGAATATGGTAGATTCATGCAGTCACATTAATTATCAGAAATAACTGATATTATTTTTATTAAAATAAAAAAATTTAGACAAAAACCATGATTTAATTGAGTTTATTTTAGTTAAAAAAGGCAAACAATCTTACACTTGACACCTCATTCTTGCGGCTGTTCCTTCCTTCTGACATCTTCCTGCAAGAGAACTTGATAACTTCATCCTGTAAGTACTTATGCACACCACTACCAGTGATTGGATTGGAATGGTTCCCCCTAACATGCTGGCACACCCGTTAAGTGACGGTATGGGTGGTTAGATCATATTGTGTGTGAAGCATCCTGGTAATTTGGAGATCACTTGATGTTGCTCAGCATATTTTAGGTGTAATTTGGTCAGGTCAGACTTCCCTCTTGTGTGGGTGGGGCAGGGAAAGGCATCTTCATTTCAGGAACATTAACTACCTACCATATAATTACTATCTACAATCAAAGAGCCAAAATACTTCTAATATTTACAATACTTTGCAAACAAATTGATCCAGTTGATATTCGTTGATATTACTATTTACAGATAATTTTCGACATTTATTTATAGATCCGATATTTTCTATTACTTAATAAATTGTGAAAAATATAGATTAAATTTAGGTAATCTTTGATGCACAGATGAAATCAAAATTTAAGGACTGATTCTGATTCCATTAATGCATCCAAAAGATCACAGGAAACTTGCTTTCATCCAGCATCAGGTATTGAGAACATCTAACGACACCCGACAATCAACCTTGCTGCCATCAGCAGTCATGGTAGCGCCTACTTCCATCAGGAACTTCTTGCACTCCTCCTGATCTGTAAAACCTAGCTCAGATTGAATGAAGGCTAGAGGCAATGTGGGACGGTAGCTGCTTACAGGAACCACCATCAACACAATGAGGAGAAATAAAAAGAAAACAAGTTAGTACACGATCTATTTAAAATTACTGTTTCTCTCAATATTATGTCAACTAAGACATTTCAAGGGCTTGCTGTGAATTTTTGCTTCTTTTTTTTTTTTTTTTGCAGGCATCAATCAAAATGACATAACCTTCTAAACCAAATTTGAATGCAATTAAGATACTTGTATTCAACATGACATGTTTGCATGTCTTCTATCTTGCTCTCGATCAGTTGCTCGATTCTGGGCAATTTGCCTAAGTTTCACAGCAAAAAAAAAAAACAAACAATTTCACAGCAAGCTGTTGAAATGGCCAGGAACTGAAATTTTCATAAACATGCTAACTCTGTGTCTGCAAGCTGCACACTGAAAATTGATTTTTCACTGCTGTCAATCAAACCTAATCAGTTGGTACCTTTCATATTTTTGACTGGCAAGTACAAACAAACAAAAAAGAGCAAACATACAAATACTTAGGAAAAATTTAATGTAAAGCACTTTAAAAGTTCAATGTAAATTATGCCATAAAGACAGTAATTTACATATAAACTTTAACAAAGCAAAAGATGATTCTGATAAAGTGCATTATTGTTGCATCTTATTTTCCTCCCTCCAAATTTGGCAAAATCAGCTATGAAATGAGAATCAAATTACTTTTGCCTTTTCTCGTCAAGGTAACCTTGGACCATGAATAGAAAACTAAATGTGTTGTTTTTGTGCCTTTGGTGTTTGCAAAGCCAGAAAAGTTCCAGACATAAACGTTTTTTGATTACTTTTGTCCAAGTTGATAACTTTTGAATATTAGAATCTAGAAACTCAGAAGTCTTGACTTGATTCTGTGCAAAAAAAAACGTGTTGGATCAATTTTAAGAAGTTTCTGCACTGCATCAATACCAGAATCATCTTCAAAATGTGAACAAAAATAACCCACGATTTGATCATAGCTTTGATGGCAGCAACGCGTTCTCTCTGCACAAACAGATCAATTAGGTAGCCGGACATATTGGGAGCACAAAGATAAAGCTGGAAAAAATTGTGGTAGTTAGAGAGAGCCCATGCTGTGCATAAACACTGGGCATGCTTTATAGGTACTGTATGTTTTTCTTCCTCTGTCAGCCTTAGTAAGTCAGTAGAGTAGTCTGAGTTGAAGTTAAGGATAAGTGATTTGGTATGAAGCAAATGTTTAGCTTTAAATTGACCCTAAAATAAACTAGACTTGGTTGATCCAAGTCAGGTATTGCTAACTCATAGAGCAAAATGGAAGTTAGCAAGGTTTTTTAGAGAAGAATCCCTTGAATCAAGGGAGACAGTCTACTAGACTCAGAATGATACTGAGTACTAAGTGAATTGCAAGTTAGTCTTACCCTGACTTAGATCAGCTCAGGGGGTTGTTTCAGGATTTGATCTGTGAACTTCCTGTAGCCTTGCCCTAACATAGTGAACAGCCCTGAGGTTTTTTCATGGTTTGATCTGTGAGTTAGCCATGCCCTGACGTAGATCAGCCCAGAGGTTGTTTCAGAGTTCAATCTGTGAGTTAGCCTTGCCCTGACGTTGATCAACCCAGGGTTTTTTTCAGGGTTTGATCTGTGAGTTAGCCGTGCCCTGACTTAGATCAGCCCAGAGGTGTTTCAGAGTTCGATCTGTGAGTTAGCTTTGTCCTGACGTTGATCAACCCAGGGGTTTTTTCAGGGTTAGATCTGTGAGTTAACCCTGCCCTGACTTAAATACATCCATAAAATATACATTAAATAATATATGCACACTATTTGGTCATTTCAAAGGATACCAAGTATATTGTTGGTCAACAGATGGTATAATAGTCTGTATGATGTGAACTCTATGACATTTCCAGATATATTATTGGAATATAAGGCTTTCAGTTGTGTCTGACACTGGTTGAACTCTTCTCTATCTCCCTGTTAGCGATAATCACATTATTACAATCCCAGTTCAATATTAGGTCGAATAAACTATTCATTAGTAACTTACAATAATTATAATTATATAGCTTAGATACATGTAGTACGTGCACTATGATTGGTCAAGAAATGTGCCTTATTAGTGAACAATGCACAGCTGCTGATGCCATCTGTGTGTGCAACTTTGCACTGGAGTGTAAGATAATGGCAGTGAAAAGGTGTAGAGATTCTTGATAATAGTGTCTAATTACTACATAACATTAAAGCAAGCACATGTAAAAATAATAAAGACGACAAAGGGAGTCGTATAGATCACTTGAAGTACGTTAGAATGCTGCTCAATTTGAAGGAAATAAAAGGTTTCCAATTCTCATGAGAATGAAATTCTTTTGTTTTGTCCTCCAAATTAAGCTTGATTGACTTCACATGCAAGGGGTCTTTTGTAAGTACATACTTTCTCCAAGGCTATTCGTGCATGTGTTTCATATACTTCCACAGTGAACTCATCTCGGATCCCTTGAACCTGAATAGAAAAGTACCATTACTGTATGTGGTTGAGGTTATGATAAACTTTATGCGTATGTTTCCTGTATTTTTTACAGTGAGGACTGTCACTTGAACCMCAAACACTTCCAGTTTATTTCAGGGGCACCATTTCAGGTCATTATTTCCTGAACTTTCTTTTGTTTCAAACCATCTAAAATAAACGTTGAGCTCAGATACACTAAATTGATCAAAATAAATCAAGTGACAACAACAGTGTTCACTGTTCAAGTGTACTCACTGTAACTTTTTAAAAAAATTCAATTTTATTGAACATCTACACTGTAAGATGATCTGAGTCGCGGCATGGCTAACTGCTTGAATGTGTATAAATCAATAATGCTGTTTAATGAAAATATGTGTATTACCGTCAAATCTTGCCGTATTGATTTAAACTGTGCACACACATATCTATAGTCATCTTGATTGGCTTTCCAGTGGTCCTTAATCATAGATAATGACTTGATAAGCACTTCTTTGGGTCGTACAGTAGATGGATCAGGAGCCTTAAAAGAAATTTAACGTTTGAGTGACATCAAACTCACAGAAAGAGTTTTGTATCAAAAAAGCTTTCAATAGACCCCTTGCATGTTACATTAAAAAGCAGCTCAATTTGGAAAACAAAACAAAAGAATTTCAATCTCCTGAGAAGTGGAAACCTCTTGTTATGTCCTCCAAATAGACCTCTTTACCTATATTGTTTGTCGTGCACATTTCAAACCATGTGATGCCACTCATGATCTTGGGAGTTGATTCTTTCATGTGTAAATATTTTAACATGTTTGTCATAAAAGAACAATTCAACAAGGGATTCTGATATGCTGTAAGGAGGCTATATGTGATATATAAATGTTAACTGTTTATAAGAAGCGTGGTTGGCCCAGTGATGCAATTCAGTAGTGCAACTACAGGCATTGCAGTGCAATCATATCACTTACTGCTGTGAGCCGATAATAATTTTTTTTCAAGTCCTGACAYGTTCCCACGACATGGAACTTGCTCCAGTCCAATTCCTCTTCATCTCTATCAGCAAAGAGCTGAGAAAGTAAAATAAAACACAATCTTATGAATCAAAAAAATGGATTTTTTTCTCATCCAACACAAGATTCAACATTCAATATTCCCATGACAACAGAATAATATAATAATGAGATATGTTCAATCTATTCTCCATGGTGGAGGATGGTTATATTCCAGATCTACAATACATACTCTCCTTAGCCCCTCTTAACCCCTTAGAATTTCCAGTGCTACTTCATGGGCGAGGTATGGATATTTTCTGTAACTACACAATATACCCTCCTCAGACCCCCCTCCTGCCCACCCCTTACAATTTCCAATGATACCCTATAGGGGATGAGGAAGTATTGATATTATCTTCAGCTGGGCCCAGTTGTATGAAGGGTGGATAGCGCTATCCTATGGATAAATCCTCATCCAGTGGATAAATTGATGCTGTTATCTGATACATTTATCCACTGGATAGGATTTAACCATCAGATAGTGCTATCCACCTTTCATACAACAAGGCTCTGCACAATAAAAGATCAATAAATATGGCTATGAAATTGAAGAGATACTTACAGATGCATTGAGTGTACTAAGGATACTTGGACTGGAACGATTGGTGTTTTCTGTGAAGGACTGGAATCTCTGTGCTCTTTTATTGATTTTCTGCTGGTTTTCTGGGTCAATGATTTGCATCGGGTCAAGAACGGGTCTGAAATAAACATATCCAAGCAATAGAAATAAATACAATAATTTTTCAGATATTAAATTTTAGAGCAGAGTGCACAGCACTGAGGTCAAGACACATTCCATTATCAAATATACCATTGCAAGTCCATTTCTGATTGGGCACAGTTGTTACTCTTTCTCTGCATGCATTCGGCATTTTCAAACCCTCAATAACCAAAATATTTTGTCCATACATTTAATATATGCAGAGCCAGAAATAGCCAGCTACCATGGCCAAAATGCAGGCCAAATATTACTAATGGCAAGCGAAAATAATTTTGTAGTGCCAAATGGAAAATAAAAGTGAAATTTTAATTTTTTTCTTYTTACCAATTTTCTTTTAGTTATCTCTTCAATGTAGTTGTTTGTCGACTTTTTATTTATTTTGAGCCCTGAACATGCTACACTTCATGCACATTTAAGAGCAATACTAACCCTGCTTTTCCCTTCTTCCCCTTTCCAGTCTTCGGCACTTTTAATTTTTGTTTTGGTCCATTCTTTTGTGTATTTTTTGGTCCCAGTCTTTCCCTTACATCTGAACGAATTGGCGATGGACTTCTGCTTCTACTCCTACTCCTAGACCTGCTGTGTCCTCTCTTCCTCCATGGAGGTGGAGATGAATGTCTCATAGAAGGAGATCTGGTGGGTGGTGATTGGCGCCGTCGTGATGGGTGCCATCTGTCAAGAGGACAATTGTCACTGGATTCCGAGTGTATTCTATTTTTGAGTCTGTGTCAAATAATAATTGTCAAATATTATGAGCAAAGCAATAAAAGCTGTGAATGAGATAAAGGTCTAGGGAATACAATATTACCTGGGTAATGGTTCTTCGTCCCAGTCGATGAGTAATACAGCATTATCTTCAAATACTTTTGTTAGCTTAGCCTTTAAGGCTGATTCTATCTCATCTTTTTCTGCTTCTGTTTCACAAGGCTTGAAACACCTTTGTACATAATCTCTATGAGATGTGATAAGAATTCAAGTTAGGTCACGCAGTCAACATTAACAACAGCACCAACATCGTCATCATCCTCAACAGCTTCATTAACATTATCACCATCATCATTGCCTGTCAYTGTCATCATTTTCCATATCCTCAACACCATGACCATCTTGGGTCACATCTAGATGCAGAATCTCTTGCCTCTACACAGCAACTTTTTCACATATTTCTTTCCTATCATCATTATCATCAGGCACTAGCTTCATCATTATCATTAACATCATCATCATCACCATCATTAACATCATCATCATCATCATTATCATCAGGCACTAGCTTCATCATTATCATCATTATCAAGAACATCATCATCAACACCATGCAGCAGCTTCATGCATCAACATCATCATCAACATTATCATCATCACCTTTATCATTAATCACATTCATCATACTATACCTTAGACTTGGTGGCCACTTGTCAGCACTCAATTCATTACTGAGCAACAATAAAAAATCAAAGAAAAAGAAAATCAGAATTTAGCAAAAAAAATATTATCAACACTAATAACAGTCAACCCTCTGAGCAAGATAACCAACATGTCAACTAACCCAGGTGGAGATTGTTGTTGTGGAGCCTGGTTTTCTTGTCTTTTGCGGTATGGTGACTGTGGTTTGGCACTGTTGTATGTCACACTTGATGTTTCATTATATGAGGCTGGCTCTTCTTGATTATCTTGACCGTCCATGGAAGGAGACTCAAATGCTGGCTTAAATCGTTTTGTTTGAAACTGGTGATTTTCTGTGTTTCCTAATGATATGGAGCAGAAAGATTTAAGACTTTGATAGTGAACAACATAAAGAAATATGGACTACTCAGTAGAATATATAGTATTATATATTTTATCATACCAATTAAGGGAATTGTGTATCTTATTAACAAATTAAGGGAATTGTGTATCTTATTAACAAATTATACCTTCAGCCCAAGGTCTTGGTAGACTTCTCTGTGGTTGCTTCCAGAATGTTTTCTTGGGTCCACCTTTGACGGCATCGGCATAAGACCCTCCAGCATTCTGTTGTTGATTATTGCTGTTATTGAACTGCCTGTTATCATTGTCAAATGCTTGGTTATTTTCTTGATCCTCTTTGTTCTGGAATCATTAAAAAAATTACTGTCAAACTCTAAGAAACCATAAGAACTATAGTTATATTCATGTTCAAAAAAATATTAAGCCATAAGATGATAAAAAGACTTCCCTCCCACCCCCCCCCCCCNCAAAAGACAAAATTCAAAATTCGATAAAACTACATACCATTCTAGAGTTAAATGGAGGCTGGTCTCTTCTGCCTTTATTATGAGCTTGAAATCTGGTATTATATACATTTGGAGGGGGTTGATTGCTACTATCATTAGTTTGTCTATTGTTGGATGAATCTTTTTGTTCATTATTTGTTGGCTGGGATGGTGTAGATAATGAATCCGATTCTGTTGTCTCATTTGAGGTGGGTACTGGACCTTGGTATGGGGGCTGTATGCCTGGAAACTGCATGGGATAAGGCATGCCAGCCTGGAAAGGAAACATGCATTCCAATAAGTCCAATAATTTATTGTTAAGTTCCCACCATAACCAAAATTTATTTTTTTCATCAGACCTTTAGAGGAACTCTAGGCTGTTGTCATGGCACAACTAACTCCCAGATTTAATTGAACTTGCATCAAATTCTTGTTGGGTTTCAAGGATTTTTCTCCAGGTTCTTTGGTTTACAGTACATTTATCATAAAAAAATAACCATCTAGATTCCAGTTCAATCATTGAGTAAGCTGACTTAGATTACCACGTTTCAGCGTATCCATAAAATTTGAACGCAGAAGTGATTTAAGAGTTTGAGTTACAAGAGTAAAGCAATAAGTACTTACTGTAGGCTGTGGAAATGGATAAGCAGGAGGGTACCCAAAGGAAGGATAAGGAGCACAAGGGAATCCAGGAAAAGCCGCATTAGGGTATGGCTGATAGTACTGTCCATACCCAAGCATTGCTGTATTCATCACATTATTATTAGTACTATTCTGTGTGCTACTTTGTTGCTTCGTGGCAGACTTTTGAGGACTTGCTCCAGTGACTTTAGCAAGGGCTTGTCTTGCTTTTTCCCACTCAGGGTTTTCTGCTGGTTTGCTGGTTGTTGTGGAATCTGTTGGTTTTGTATTATCTGTAGCTGTTGAAGAAGCTGATGTATTATACTGCTGTGACCTGAAAATTTAGGGACGACAATGATGATTCCTTTGGTACACAGTAACTCTATCATTTACCTTAGTTTTTACTTCACTAGACACTTGTGTAATGTGGTATCAATTATCCCATATTTCTCAAGAATTAGAACTTACATATCATTTTCATATTTTCAAAATTAAAGCAAGTGCAATTTTTTTTAAGTATCCACATTTGAATGAATTCTAGCAACACTTTCATTTTATTTCCAAGAAATTTTCCCTACTATTTCTAATAAAGAAATATCAGAAACTCAACACAAAAATATAGCTTTGACTTTTAGGAAAGAAATCTCAAAGACAATATTATTGAATTATACTAAAATTACAGTGTAAAATATAAGATTACTAAACTTCAAAACAATAGTCCCCCGAAATTAAATGATAAAAAACACTTAAATTTGAAAATATGCTTATATGTAGAGCCAAGAGCGAATTTTCTCATAAACATATACAAATCCTATGATCTCAAGGAAAATTCAAGGATCTTTTAAAAGCGTGGAGAGAAAATTTTCCATTTTTTTCATCCCCATGATCTGATTCCCTCTCCTTGCCTTTCAACRAAAACGCTTCTCTGACGATCTAAATTACTCTATCTACACAACCTACCACGCTGCAGCGGCAGTTGCATCACTAGCCTTCCACCCTGTAATCATTATTTCGCTGGAGAATAGAGAAAAAGCGTCAAAAAAGCGAAAATATAACGACCTTTGAGATAAACTTCTTCACTTCATTATTACGACAACAGTCTGGTATCTTAACCTGCAGTGAATCATGGGTAATGTCTCAAGAGGGGGGTCAATATATTGCTACAGATTCTCAATCTAATCTACCCCAAAAGACCTTCTTGCGCATGTCCTTCTTCCTCCGCCATCTTGGATTTTTTGTACAACTGACTTGGTTCCTGTATATTCAGGTAAGATTATTAAATTTTCGACTATATTCTAAAAAAAATTTTACCGTGAGCCATTTTATTGATAAATTATCTCCTTATTTCTGCAAGCAGTTGAAGAATTGCTCCTTATTTTGGAAATTTTTTAAGGGCTCTTAGTTTCACCGGTTCAGGTACACAAGAAATGCAAAACGTGCTAAAGGTCATGATTCCTAGCTTTAATACCAAATGTAATTGCTGTTATTATTATTATTTTTTTAATTTAAACATATTTATCATAACATTTGCCCCAAAAGCAACGAGACTTAACAAGGGGGCTTACGTCTATTTTACAATATAAATAATAAATAGCAAAAGCGGAAATTAGAAAATAAGTACAATAAATACACAATAAATACGAACTAAAA